TCACCTGCTTGTGTTCTCTTCAACCTTTTGTCCAGTTCCTATAAGATTCCTGGTACTGTTATCACTTATACAATAGGGTTCAAAAAAAAAAATACAACAAACCGCTCCCATCTACTCCTAAGATTGCAATCAGTTCAGCTTCATCTGCAGTGCTGTGCACTGACACCACAAGGAATTATTCTGAGCTCTTAGCACTGTGTCATCCTCCTTAGACATTCAGGCACTTTGTAATGGTCTCGTAGTTCACCCCTGCTGAGCTAGCTGGAAATTACAAAGGAAACAAAAATTAAGTACTTCAGGAACAACCATTGTTGGAAAACAGGCTGCTTTTCAATTATCTGCTTATAGGTAGCAAGGGAAGTGTGGTTTAATTAATTCTTCACTTTTCCACAATGGTTTGCCTTAAGAGGAACTTGAAAGTGCTACACCCTTCCAACATACCTTTGGCTTCATGTGCTTTAGTCCTCACATCACATTCCATGTGGTAGACCCTCAAAGCTGATCTAGTCAGTCCTCCAGTCACAAAGGTACCATCTCCCACATAGTCCGCACAAGAACCTGGGAAGTACAGTTTTTGCCGAAATATCCAGTCCCACTTCTGTGTATTGGTGCTTCAAGTCCAAACTGGATGAAACGTTTTGGAATGTAAGTTAAAACTTGAAATTTCTTTCCCTTGGAATGCTTTCTAAACCTGCTTTGCAGAGAGGATGAGGAACAACTCCTTGAGCACAATGTCACAGTCCTCAAATGTCATTCCACCATTCCCTTTCATGCCTGCACAAAGCAGCATATAATACCTAGAACACCTTTGCACTGTAGTTGCCAATACCTGGACTTGAACACTAACTGGCATCCTCAGATACAGACAGACAGGTATGAGCCACCTGGACTAGTTGGAGGTTTTTAGCAAAAACTTGTTTTCAGCTGCCTCACAGAGAGAAATGGCTAAGAGAAAAAAATGTTTGTCTCTCACTGCTGTCTACATTTGCTCTTAAAAGATGTATCAAGACATGTATTAACATATATTGGTCTATGGAGTACTTACCTGTAAGAAACTTCTCTATTCCTTTGTTTTCCCACCAGTTATTCTTTAAGAAACATTAGGTGGCTGGAGGCTTAACAGAAAAGAAAAAAATCCATTATTGCCCTTACATCATCTATACATATTGCGCCAAAAAAAATAAAAAATAATAAGGAACAAAAAAAATATGGAAATAAAAAGAAACTTATGGCAACTCTCCAATCTGTTCCTTACTGGAACTATAAATTGTTCTTCTAACTTCAAGTACAATATGCTTCAGTGATCCATTCATTCTCTTTCCTACAAGAAATCGAAATTGCTCAAGTGAACTGTGAAGCTTGGTGCCAGTACTTATTTATGAGGCTTCTTAAATTCAGATTACAAAATAATTAGCAATTCTAAGTAAAATAGACTAGTTTCTCTTACTCACATTTTCACAGAATCTCTCTTACCTAAGAATAGCATGTAAGTATTTGTCTTAGCAATTTAATGCACCTTATTAAAGCACTGTACAGATTTACTTTTATGTTATAGTACACATCTAGTTACATTCATTTACACATTTCCAGTGGGATACAAAGAAATAAGAAATTTTCACAAGTACTAAGAAAGGAAAAAAAAAATCTGATTCTTAAAAATAAAAATTTGTTACATAAAAAAACCCCTACAATATTAAACCAGATACACATCAGAACAGCTTTATTATTGATGCTCCAACATTACCCCTCTAAATGTTCACTATGCACTGAAAAAGCAGAGGCACTTCTGGAAAGCATAGATAGCTCAATTAAATCTACTGAAATATCATGATTTTTATGCAGCATTACAGCTTTTTTTAAATTATGGAAAGTACAGCTCAGCACAAAAAATGTTCAGTGTGTTTCTAAAAGAAGTGAAATATTTTTAAAAACAAATAATTTAAAAGAACAGTTAGATGCAGAAACAAATTCCCTTTTCTAATTTTACTTTGAGCCCTGCATTTTCCACTCATGAATAGAAATTCTTAAATATGAAAGTTAAACCTAGTCTGATTTATTTCTATGTCTAGACTAATGGGAATCTTGGAAAGCTTTCATAAAAAGCTAAAAAAATTCTGCAGCCAATTACCACTATAGATATGACAGATTCCGAAATTATTCATATACTCCAGAGCTTGAAACCACAAAATCCTCAGCAAATTTTACAGGGTAGAAGACAAGTAGTCATTAAATCACCACTTCACTCACACCGCTGTACAATATAAAGAATAACACAGAAACCTCCAAGATGTGGCTAGCCATATGGTTTGCTAGCATTTAATCCTTCACTGATGAGATATGAGAAAGATAAGGCAAATTTTTAAAAATTTGCAAATTTCTAACTATATCATTTGGGTTATTATAGCTCAGATATAATTTGCTTTTCATTAAAATAATCTTCATGTTTTTTAAATAAGAACTTACAGGAACAGGGACTCTCACAATAGTGACAGACTATTTTTCTCATTAAATATTAAATGAGTAACACCCTTGAGTACTCAAAAAATAATTTCCTCAATTAAGAAACACTGAGATTTCTTTATGGTGAAGCTCAGAATTTTTTCTTCCTCATTAGCACTTGCTGGCTTGCCATGTAATTCTCCGTAGTGCAGCACAATTGCAGGGCAGAGGATCACTCTCTTACCACGGTGTTACCAACCACAGTATTTGAGATACAGCACAGCTGGATGAAACAAAATTTCTTAACAGACTATCATGCTGAAAATAGCAACCCATTTTCTTCTAATAATCATAGCCAAGACACAGAATTTATTTTTCTTTCACTTGATCACGTGCTTTAAGACCTCCTGTAGCTTACCTTGGCTATTTTGCTGTCTTGATGGAGCTTTGAGAACCATCACATAGACACCCTCTCAATTGTTTGCTTTCTTCCAGGATAGCATGACAGTTCTGCAAAAGCAGCTTTAAGACTTAGTGAAAATACAAAGGAAAACAAGGAGAAAAGATTATTGTGTATAATTGGAATTCCTATTCCATCTGTGCTGAGAACTGCGTAGGCTCTGCTGAATCAAGCAGAAGATGTAGAGCATACCTGGTGAAGCACTGAGGTTAACTATTATCAGCCATCTCTAAAGGCTTTTCTACCTGAAGTGGCTTGAAGTAGGACAGGTTATAAAACAGATACAGTGTATGAAAAATGAAGACTTGTGATGTTGGGTTTTTTTCATCTTCATTTGGATTTTTCTTCCTTGGTTTTTAGGTTGTTGTGTTTTTTTAATTTTCATTTTCTTTCATCCAAATCCCAACTGACTGCTGTACAAGGAGGAACAAAGGGCAGGGATTTAACTTCTCTTAAAGTGAGGCTTCTAACCCACTTCTATTCAAGCTGTTCATTCAAAACTTTCCTCCTTCGTATTCATGCTTATCTGTATCACTGTTTAAATAAAAAATCACCCACTCAACAGTGCACAGCATATACTCCACTGCATTACTTCGTAGTTCCAGGCTTGACCAGCATGGTCTAGAAAGCAAAGAAGCTGTCCTGACCTCCTCCTAGGGGCCTAGGCCGGGAAAAAAACCCAAACTTATACCTTGAGCATATAACCTCTTGTCTTTGTTGTGGGTAGTAATTGTCTTGCAGGCCTGGAGAAGGTTGTATCTATGAAGTCCTTGCTAATCTGGGATCTGCGCTCACAATAATTGCAATTGTCCTATCATATATAACCACTGATATTTCACCATACAAAAAATTACTACAGGCCAAGGACAAGGAAGAATAGTATTTTTATTAACAACTTATACTGATAAGTCCATAGCTCTGTTAGATGCAACATTTCAGGTAGAAACTCTTTTTGAAAGGTAACATCTCTTGTCTTGATTTCATGGCAATGATACAGTCTTAAGAAGCCACTAAAGATGGAGTGAACAAATTGTATCAGATAGTTTTTATGCTGTTTCTTCAAAAATTAGAGTCCGCACCAGGGTTTGTGAGAATGACAGAGGTAAGGTTTTTTATCACATAAAAAAAAAAAAAAAATCTTACCCCTGACCAATTTTTTTCAATAATATCTATGATTTTGATGCACTTCTACCATAAAAAAATATGTAACAGTGTGACCTGTCACTTGAAAACAGGTTTGGGGGAGGAGATGAGGAAGAGAAAACTAATAGTCCACATACTGCTGTTTTAGTCATCTTTTAAGAACTCCATCAGCCACAAAGTACATGGGCTTTTCCACTTTAAAAAATTGACTGCCTTTAAAATGACCAAATTCCCAGAAAGACAGATAAGAGAGAGTAAATCAGACTAGAAGTCTTTCAGAACAATTTCTTTCCAGACAAAGTGAAAGCTGAAAGGCTCCACGAATGGTATTTCACCTAAGTTACAACATGACAGTCAAGAAAAGGTGGTGATTTTCTATGCAGTAAAATCCAACTGTGAAGTGCAGAAAGGTCTGCATTCCCCAGGCTGAGGCAAGGTGTGCCTGGCTATCTCAAGTCGTTGCATCCGGCAACTCCAGCAGATGGGGAATGGCAAGTTATCCATTATGTTCTGAGGTCATATTTGCTCTTTCTGAGGAAGTCTAAGGACTGCTGGCCTTTCTGGATTGTGGGGGGAATCTTTCAGGATGAAGGGAGGGAATGTCAAAAGAATGCCCTCAGTGCTATGCAATGCTATTTGGCTGAGGTCACCTAAACCCTGCTCTTTTCACATTAAAAAAAATAAAAGTTTAAAAAAATCAAAAGCCAAGTTTGATCCACAGACTGGAAACGCAAATGTATTCCCTCTGACTCAAGAGGTTCTGAAGACCTGTGGTAGTCACTGCCACTGGTGAGTGGTGTGAGGTTTGAACAAGCCAAGACTTATGATCATGGCTAGTGACAACACCACCTCAATGATCCCTAGATTTCCTAGCAGTTACTGAGACTTATCTAAAAGTAAACTTCTTGTAGGTTAATCAGTCTGAAAATACAAAGAACCCTTCTTGTTTCTTCCATAGGACTACACCCTGACCATGTACTTTCAGCAGTCCTGGAGGGATAAAAGGCTCTCCTATTCTGGAATACCTTTGAACCTAACTCTCGACAACAGAGTGGCTGACCAGCTCTGGGTGCCGGACACATATTTCCAAAATGACAAGAAATCATTTGTCCATGGGGTGACAGTGAAAAACCGAATGATTCGACTCCATCCAGATGGGACAGTCCTTTATGGCCTACGGTATGTTGGGTTTTTTAATCAGCTATGTTACTGTCCTGGCAGGAGTGCAGGTAGTACCAATGCCACTTTCCTCTCCTTTTTTCCCAGTTTCCTAGTGCAGCTGTATGAGTCAGCACATGCTTCATCTAGACGACCACATCACAGCCTAGAATTTTCCACAGAGCAACAACACTACCTTTAATAACTACATCCATAACTAACAAAGCCTAATGCCTCTTTTTTTTTTTTTCTGCTCTTCTGAGTATATTTAAACTACTGAAAGGGTTCTTTATTATCAACTCATAATCAATCACAGGTTAGACTATCACTTACTTCCTCCTAAAATTTTTCCATCAGCTCTTTAGGACAATGTGAAATTAAAATTTGGAGTTATCCGAAGAAATCTGACCAACATTTGTAGGGAATAAAGAGATATTCATAAGTTTATGTTAATTATTGAAATATTGTCTATATGTCTGAGTATACGTTTTCTTTAATCTTCCTTGGTTTATAACTGCCTCTTCACACCACAACTGCTTCTTCATACAGTGCAACCCATATTCACCCCTGTAGATGAAAATATATTCTAAAGTTTGAACAGGCACAATCTAATTATAAGGTACACAACTGTGAAATTAAAACTATGCCAAGCTATTTGTTATGTTGAGAATTTTGCAGAGACTGAGTAGGGCTTTATTGCATTATTTTTGAAGTTAAGGTAGCTTTGCTTGGAAATAACATTGTCTGTCTGAAACAACCTTTGATCACTCTTATCATTCAACAGTAAAAATAATGTCTGGAGAATATAAACCTGAAAGCATACTTCAGTTAATCAGAAAAAAAGTTATAAAGCATAAAACTTAGCTGAAATATCTCAAAATTTACCTAAGATAGAATTAGGGAAAAAAAAATGCTACAGCATTTCAAAATGAAAATAATATTTGGGAAAGTATAACTTAGAGCTTACTGAAAATAGAAATTTGAAATTACCTTTTAGCCTATAAAAACACAACCTTTTAAAACTCAGCGCTACCCATGCAGAGAAAGCCTTCCAACCTATCAATTCAAGCTTCTCAAGAAACAGGAAATTATTTATAAATTATTATTTTGGCTAATCATGAGTTCTCTTTTGAACCTGTCAGATTCCCAGGCATTGCATCAGTTCCTATAAACAGCTGCACAGTCAGTTTAATACAGCTAGATCTGTTCTGGTACAGAAAAACTGCTATTTCAGTTATGAAAGAGAAAACAAGGGACCCATGAAGAATGAGTTGTTCTACTAAAGGCTGTTATTAACATCTTCTAAACAGAGCATTTGAAAAATACATCTTTCCCATAGCCTTCAGACCTCCTACAGTTCCTTTCAATTAAACTGACTCCTGCAGGACAGTTACCATGAGAGGAATTTTTGGTCTGATAACTTTACAAAATATTCCTCCTTTTTTTCTTCCTTTAAGGCCAGGAAGCAAATGTATTTACAGTCTAGAATTTGCAAAGTGGCAAGAATGTACGTTAGAGGCAAGCACTCCCTCACAAGCAGTTGTAAATATACAATATAAACTACCCCTTGAAACGTACGCCATGCATATGCTTCCACACACATACAGCGGATATCAATAACAATCTTCTTTCTGCAGAAATAGCAAAAGAAGCTGTGATACATCTGGGGAACCTGCTGCAAGTCCTCTCGTGTGTTTCATCCCCAAAGCAGCAGCATGGATGAGAAATTGTGACCTTGCCACATGCTCATGCTCTCAGGGGTGGTCAGGCAAACCTCCAGTGCAACACCAAAGATGGTCACCTTCACATAACAAGGTTGCTACTTTGTATGATTGAATAACCATTCACATTTGAATAGTTAAGCAACTGTTCTGCAACCTTGCAACAGCTGCAGCTCTGCACGTTAATACCCCAGCCAATATCTATCACTTCTTGTAGTAGGAAAACAAAAGAACAAACAAATAAACAAACAAACAAACCAAAAACCACCAGAACAAAAAAGGCAGAAAACCCCACACTAATATTAAGAACAACCTCCAAGGACAAAGCAGCTCTTTAGATGCATCTGGTGAGTAGACTTTGACCTGTAGTTACCACACCTGTAGCGTTCCTATCCCACAGGAGGTATCTGATCGAAGACAAAACTAGCAAATGAGCAGAAGAAAAAATGACGTTAAGAAACATGAAAACAATTTTCATACAACAATTGGCAGTTATTGTTTTAAACTTGCATTAGTGGTCACTTTCCTCATGGTAATAAATACAGTTCTGTCAGCCTATAGTTACCTTTAGATAATATGAACATCAATTTTTTTGTATGCTAGATGACACATATGCCTCATAAGAAATAAGCATGAGAAAACACTGCAGAAAATGTTTTTAGGTCAAATTCAGCATTGCCTGTTAGAAATTTGAGCACAGCTCTGATCTTAGTCTCACAAGAAGAAAAGAAACTTTGTAGCATATTAACTTGCATTTACCTTCTGTGCAGCAGAGAGAATGAAGACAGAATCATCAAACATCTCATAGGTTGTGATGTGCAAGTTTCGTTTTCCTTGCTGAAGACAGAGCTGGCCTGACATCACTTGAACAAGAAAGACAACACCAATTACACTACAGACCAGGTCTGAGTTCCCAACAAATTAGGCAGGGTTTTAACCATCCCTCAAGGATGATTTAAGTGCTTCCTTTCCCTCATGCTTCCTATTCCCCTAACAACTTTTCTATTTTCAGTTGAGTAAATGTTTCTCTTCAGGCTCAGATATGAAATTATACTGGCTTCTTTAAAAAGAAATTGGAACAATGAAAGCAGCTCTAAATAACCTGATTTGTTTGCATCCATGTACACAGCAGTTTGTCATTGATGCAATGCTCAGTCTCAACAGAGTTGAGGAAAAATAAATCAAGGTTAATCATTTGACTCTTAAGATGAATAAACAAGGGAAACATGCACATAATACACTGGACTGATTTTAGATCATGTAACAAAGCCTTATCACTTCAGTATGTCTCCATATTATTTCTATGATGAACTGAACAACCCCTGTAGCTATTTTTTCCAGTAACTTTCAGCTGCTATGTCCCCACTGTTTAGAAAATTATATGTTCTGTGAACTTGTGCAGATACAAATTACTCCTAAATCTTCTGCCCTCGAAAATTGTGCATTGCTGTTTTGTCTCTTGCTGCAAAAGCTACTTCTGTTAATTGTTCATAGTAGTGAAACATATATAACCTTACTAACCAAATAACTCCTTCAGCCTTTTACCCAAGCAACTACACACACAACACATTTAACTCCATGTTATCTTTTCCACTGAATTCCATTTCAAATATGTCAGGGAAGTTGAGTGTCACTGTTAATCATTATTATGTACCTGAAGTGTGTGATTCTTCAGTTCCTGTCAGGTACTCCCACCAGCAACTATTATCATTTTCTGTGGTGTAGACACCTGCTTCCTGAGAGAAAGAAAAAAAAATCTCATTGAGTCAATGTGAAAAACTGCAGCACTGTGAGGATGGTGTATGAGACAGTTCTAGCCTGGTCCCAGTACAGCTGGTAAAATATTGAATACTATTTTATCTACTTAATTTTTACCCTATTTTTAGTAAGTGATTGGATCCCATTAGCTCTAACCCTTTTGGCACTAGCAGTGTCTCCCATTACTTTTATTGCCTATTTAGGCAAGATTCTCTAGAAGTCTCTACCAAATCTCTAGATTCTCAAACCAACACATGCTGTTGCTTCTTTTGCTTCTCCTTGCTTAGCCTTTTTCCAAGTAAGATGCTAGACATGTAATCTGTCTTTGAGATATTTAAGAAAACATTAATAATTTATTGTACCGAATTCTATGTTCAAATTCTTATGTCATGATGTCAAGAATGGAAGCTCTGATTTAAATCATCCTTTCCTAGTATTTTATTCTTCTCAGATTTTCACTACCGGAACAATGACATCTTGCTGCTTTGGAGACATCTGTTCTTTTATCATGACATTGCCTCAAAATAAACAGCAGAATTTCATCTGGTGTGCTGTAAGGAGCATATCCTTGAAAAGTATTAGGTGTTAAGAAGCATAACATACCTTCAGCAATACCTTTACACAGACTTCTCTCCCTTATGATATGCAGACACCAACATAACATCCATTAGAACAAGTCTTTATTTCAAGGCAGGGAGACTGACCATACCATGACAAGATGTGAAGATCTGGCTTGGAACATTGAAAAATTTTGGTTTCAGTGAGACCACAATCTTTAAGTTGCTACAGCAGAGGATGCCAGTTTGCTAGACACTGCTACAACTGCAAGAGGACAAGGAGAAGAGTGGTCTTTGCCTTAAATGTAAGGAGTTATTTCACCACTTCTTACACAAATAAAATCTTCTGTGATGCAAACACTGGCAAACAAATCCACCTACCTCCAACCAATTCACAAATGCAAATTGACTGATGCAACATTGGATTTACTAACCACTTATTCATGCGATATCCATGGAAGCCCATCGAGCATATCCTGGAAGTGGAATACAAAAAAGCTATATTTAAATGTAGAATGTTTAGGTTTTAAATAATCTTAAAAGTGAATTTTAGTGGGAACTTCCCTTCTTGACTGCCTCTATTTTGGTGATATAGCTGTGAATGTTACTAAAGAAATAAGGTAGACAGGTGATTACATCTTTTATTACAGTGAAATCTTAATAGTTTGTGGATTGCTTTTGTATTGTCATGATTTGGGGCTGTGGAGTTTTGGTTTTCCTCTAAACACTTTCAGGAATTTTCTTAAAGAGTCAGTTATTGAGTCCTTTTGAGGACAACCCATCATGTCAACAAGTAACCTACTTACACTGGTACTCAGTAGATTGTCCTACTTGTGATGTTAAACAGCTCCAGCCAGAAAAAAGACTGCAGTTTATTCTAAAAAACCGTGTCATCTAACTGAAATGAAAAGCTACACTTGTTTCACTACAGAAAAATACAGAACAAATTATAAAGTATTATTTTATTAGATGACAGTTTTGAAAA